GTTCAGTGGTCTCATTCTTTTTGAGACGCATTAATTTCACGATTTACAGTATTCATGTTTTCAATATCAATTGAGCAATTAGCAGAAAAGTGATCAAAAAAGTAAAATATTTCATACTGGAAAGAATCATTCTTATTTTTTATGTGAGAACATACATGTGATTAGCGGTGTGCATGTGATCTCGCAGGTTAGTATGTGGCTATCATTACAGCAATGGGTGTACACATTTTATCAACAGACATTATACTGTGTGTTGAAATTAGCATGCAACTGGCACCTCTATGGAGTCATATTGTAACATTTGTTTTTAATATCCAACCCACATGTTATTTAACACCAGTATAAAAATTTGCTGTCTGAAATTGTGTTAAACTGGCTTATTTGTCGAGAAAATCATGCATAGTGTCTTCATTTAGAAAATGGCTGAATGTCCAGCCAGCGAGTTGTTTGTAAATTAGCGTTGACTAAAGTAAACAAGCAGTTAAAAAATATTTTATACATGTATAAACCATATTTGCATTCTGAAAGTCCCAGCAGTCCCTGCAGTCAACAATAACTGGCTCATTTGTGACCAACTCGTGTTATTCCGGGACAAGCCGAATAGCGACTCGTGCCCCTCTCATGGCCATTTTTGCGCAAACAGCATACCTTTTAACAAATGTCAACTCGTTGCGTATGGTTCACAAAAAAACAACTATATATAATATATATTTCAGATGCAATTTAAAGTTCATCGGGACGTGCGGAATTATACAGTATGATTGAACACATTTAACTGTGTCTTGGGTATATTTTTAGATATGTACAGTGTATAATCAAGAACTTGAAATCATACTCGCATTCTGATTGGTTTGTCGTATTTTCGCACATAACATTCATCGATAGGGGGACGAGTCTTCTTGCAGGTTACGGAAAGGGGCGAGTGGTGACGAATGCATTCATCGATAGGGGGACGAGTCTTCTTGCAGGTTACGGAAAGGGGTGAGTGGTGACGAATGCATTCATCGATAGGGGGACGAGTCTTCTTGCAGGTTACAGAAAGGGGTGAGTGGTGACGAATGCATTCATCGATAGGGGGACGAGTCTTCTTGCAGGTTACGGAAAGGGGCGAGTGGTGACGAATGCATTCATCGATAGGGGGACGAGTCTTCTTGCAGGTTACGGAAAGGGGCGAGTGGTGACGAATGCATTCATCGATAGGGGGACGAGTCTTCTTGCAGGTTACGGAAAGGGGCGAGTGGTGACGAATGCATTCATCGATAGGGGGACGAGTCTTCTTGCAGGTTACGGAAAGGGGTGAGTGGTGACGAATGCATTCATCGATAGGGGGACGAGTCTTCTTGCAGGTTACGGAAAGGGGCGAGTGGTGACGAATGCATTCATCGATAGGGGGACGAGTCTTCTTGCAGGTTACGGAAAGGGGTGAGTGGTGACGAATGCATTCATCGATAGGGGGACAAGTCTTCTTGCAGGTTACGGAAAGGGGCGAGTGGTGACGAATGCATTCATCGATAGGGGGACGAGTCTTCTTGCAGGTTACGGAAAGGGGTGAGTGGTGACGAATGCATTCATCGATAGGGGGACGAGTCTTCTTGCAGGTTACGGAAAGGGGCGAGTGGTGACGAATGCATTCATCGATAGGGGGACGAGTCTTCTTGCAGGTTACGGAAAGGGGCGAGTGGTGACGAATGCATTCATCGATAGGGGGACAAGTCTTCTTGCAGGTTACGGAAAGGGGCGAGTGGTGACAAATGCATTCATCGATAGGGGGACGAGTCTTCTTGCAGGTTACGGAAAGGGGCGAGTGGTGACGAATGCATTCATCGATAGGGGGACGAGTCTTCTTGCAGGTTACGGAAAGGGGCGAGTGGTGACGAATGCATTCATCGATAGGGGGACGAGTCTTCTTGCAGGTTACGGAAAGGGGCGAGTGGTGACGAATGCATTCATCGATAGGGGGACGAGTCTTCTTGCAGGTTACGGAAAGGGGCAGTGGTGACGAATGCATTCATCGATAGGGGGACGAGTCTTCTTGCAGGTTACGGAAAGGGGCGAGTGGTGACGAATGCATTCATCGATAGGGGGACGAGTCTTCTTGCAGGTTACGGAAAGGGGCGAGTGGTGACGAATGCATTCATCGATAGGGGGACGAGTCTTCTTGCAGGTTACGGAAAGGGGCGAGTGGTGACGAATGCATTCATCGATAGGGGGACGAGTCTTCTTGCAGGTTACGGAAAGGGGCGAGTGGTGACGAATGCATTCATCGATAGGGGGACGAGTCTTCTTGCAGGTTACGGAAAGGGGCGAGTGGTGACGAATGCATTCATCGATAGGGGGACGAGTCTTCTTGCAGGTTACGGAAAGGGGCGAGTGGTGACGAATGCATTCATCGATAGGGGGACGAGTCTTCTTGCAGGTTACGGAAAGGGGCGAGTGGTGACGAATGCATTCATCGATAGGGGGACGAGTCTTCTTGCAGGTTACGGAAAGGGGCGAGTGGTGACGAATGCATTCATCGATAGGGGGACGAGTCTTCTTGCAGGTTATGGAAAGGGGCGAGTGGTGACGAATGTAATGGGCTACATAAACTTTACAAAAGATTAATTTTCCTCGAAGAAAAATGCCATCATACATATATATTTTTTCTCCCAAACACACATCAATTTTTCTGTCTTTACCATGCACATTTATGCACATGTCTTCAAGTGTGCATACCCATATTCGTGTCCTCCTTAGTTGAACTATCACCAAACCTTCATTACATAATTGGAATAACGCAGGGGGGGTCGTACTTGGACCCCGAGACCCGCGTTAGCAGGGGGGATAACTGTAATCATGGGTGGAAGGTGAAATTAATGTTAATATACCATAAAAACGAAACTTATTAAAACATTTTCCAGGAAAAGGGGACAGGCATGATATCTCATCATAATGGCGTTAACGTTTCCGGTGAGTGAAAAAACTACATTCATGCATATATAGGTCATTCACAACTGGTATTAAACTTACAATGTTGATAGTGTCAAAGCAGTTAGTGTATTATAGCTTTATGTGCATAGATACATTGCAATAGCAGTTAGATCTAAGTATTTATTAAGATAAATGTTTCAATATCAGATATTTGTCCAACCCTGCTCTCTACTTTCCAAGGCCAGACTCTTTCTTCTTCTTTGTCTATAGATTTTATTGTGAAAAACCTCGTCAGAGTGTCAGCACCAGTAGGGTCAGAGAGTCAGCATGACTAGGGTCAGAGAGTCAGCATGACTAGGGTCAGAGTGTTAGCATGACTAGGGTCAGAGTGTCAGCATCACTAGGGTCAGAGTGTCAGCATTACTAGGGTCAGAGTGTCGGCACCAGTAGGGTCAGAGAGTCAGCATCACTAGGGTCAGAGTGTCAGCATCACTAGGGTCAGAGTGTCAGCATCACTAGGGTCAGAGTGTCAGCATTACTAGGGTCAGAGTGTCAGCACCAGTAGGGTCAGAGAGTCAGCATGACTAGGGTCAGAGAGTCAGCATCACTAGGGTCAGAGTGTCAGCATAACTAGGGTCAGAATGTCAGCAGCACTAAGGTCGGAGTGTCAGCATCACTAGGGTCAGAGTGTCAGCATCACGAGGGTCAGAGTGTCAGCATCACTAGGGTCAGAGTGTCAGCATCACTAGGGTCAGAGTGTCAGCATTACTAGGGTCAGAGAGTCCTCAACACTAGGGTCAGAGTGTCAGCATCACTAGGGTCAGAGTGTCAGCATCAGTAGGGTCAGTGTATCAGCATCACTAGGGTCAGAGAGTCCTCAACACTAGGGTCAGAGTGTCAGCATCACTAGGGTCAGAGTGTCAGCATCACTTGGGTCAGAGAGTCAGCATCACTAGGGTCAGAGTGTCAGCATCACTAGGGTCAGAGTGTCACATCACTAAGGTCAGAGCATCAGCATCACTAGGGTCAGAGTGTCAGCATCACTAGGGTCAGAGTGTCAGCATCACAAGAGTCAGAGTGTCAGCATCACTTTGGTCAGCATCACTAGAGTCAGAATGTTAGCATCACTAGGGTCAGAGTGTCAGCATCACTTTGGTCAGCATCACTAGAGTCAGAATGTCAGCATCACTAGGGTCAGAGTGTCAGCATTACTAGGGTCAGAATGTCAGCATCACTAGGGTCAGAGCATCAGCATCACTAGGGTCAGAGTGTCAGCATCACTAAGGTCAGAGCATCAGCATCACTAGGGTCAGAGTCTCAGCATCACTTGGGTCAGAGTGTCAGCATCACTAGAGTCAGAGTGTCAGCATCACTTTGGTCAGCATCACTAGAGTCAGAATGTCAGCATCACTAGGGTCAGAGTGTCAGCATCACTTGGGTCAGCATCACTAGGGTCAGAATGTCAGCATCACTAGAGTCAGAATGTCAGCATCACTAGGGTCAGAGTGTCAGCATCACTAGGGTCAGCATCACTTGGGTCGGCATCACTATGGTCAGAGTGTCGGCATCACTAGGGTCAGAGAGTCAGGATCACTAGGGTCAGAATGTCGGCATCACTAGGGTCAGTGTGTCGGCATCACTAGGGTCAGAGTGTCGGCATCACTAGGGTCAGAGGGTCAGCATCACTAGGGTCAGTGTGTCAGCATCACTAAGGTGAGAGAGTCAGCATCACTTGGGTCAGAGAGTCAGTATCACTAGGGTCAGAGTGTCAGCATCACTAGGGTCAGAGAGTCAGCATCACTTGGGTCAGAATGTCAGCATCACTAGGGTCAGAGTGTCGCACTAGGGTCAGAGTGTCAGCATCACTAGGGTCAGAGCGTCAGCATCACTAGGGTCAGAGTGTCAGCATCACTAGGGTCAGAGTGTCAGCATCACTAGGGTCAGAGCGTCGGCATCACTAGGGTCAGAGTGTCAGCATCACTAGGGTCGAGAGTCAGCATCACTAGGGTCAGCATCACTAGGGTCAGAGTGTCAGCATCATTGGTAGTTCTACAGGGTCAGTGTGTGAAGACAGGCTGCTTCCTCCTTACCGTTATCCTTCTTAAGGAGGTGAGAAACTCCCCATGGTTTCGGACTGCCATTGTTCCGAAGCCAAGAACATTGTGCGCCACAATCATCAGGAACGCCATTCCCGAAAATATCCTAGCTGGTGTCAGGTACTGTTTAGTGTCTGACAAACACATAGTCACAGTTATTACGTAGATGAGAAATCGATGGAGAATCACCCAGATACTAACAGTAAACACTGATGCCTGTTTGGATGTCATGATCACCTTCCATTCAAGCCTGAAAACAAGACGGCATGTGCCTCTAGTACAGCATGTCACACTGAATATGTAATGTATGAAGGAAACCATGAAATTGCACACAAATCAACAAACTGAAATAATTGAAAATTCATAAAGTGCAGACAAAAACAACCAATATTTAAAGGAAGCCGTCATCCAGTAGCATTAGTACAGAGTGGAGAAGAATTCTTTGCACACTTTTAATGCAGGTTAGTATATACAGTTGAATACTGTTGTGTCAGACTTTGATGCATCAAATTAGCAGCTGTGTTAAGAGTGAGTGAGTATGGTTTTACGCCGCTTTTAGCAATATTACAGCAATATCATGGCAGGGGACACCAGAAATGGGCTTCACACATTGTACCCATGTCGGGAATCGAACCCGGGTCTTCGGCGTGACGAGCAAACGCTTTAACCAATAGGCTACCCGACCGCCCCAGCTGTGTTAAGAAGCAAATACCTTCAAATTTTTCATCATCATCATTGAAAAGTTATATTCAATGCGTTGAATTTTCAGTTATCTCAAACATTTGTGTGTGTCCGAAACGGTAAATGCAGGTACAAAAGTGCCCGGAACATCCGAAAACATGTGAACCTAACAGGCATCCTAATGCATCAATGTACATGAACATGTTGTCGTAATGACGTACTCTTTTATTACAAAGTTAACCAGGGCTCGATTTAACTACAAAACATGCACCAGAGCAGCCTACTGGCAGCCTAACATTTATGTCTACATGCACCAAGTGCATGGAATATAATTCAAATGTGTCTGACTGACCCTTACTTTTCAACACAATCTTTGAACACACTCAACACCTCAAAGATTTGTGTACCGTACTACATCCCTAATCCCTGTGTTACCGTATTCAACGTAATAAGCGCCCCACTGTAATAAGCGCCCACGGCGATATTTGCTAATATATTGGCTAGTGAACAATCCCAATTAGCACCCATTCCGACCGATCAATGTTCACAAGACTTATTTACTCGTGTATAACATGCACTCGTGTGTTATATGCACCCTTAATTATGGGCAATTAAATTCTGGAAAAATATATCTGTCGTGTATAATACGCACAGACTTTTCTCTTGTATCATTTCAGGTACATAAACCCAGAAATTTACAATCTTTCAACTCTGTTTTTTTCTCTCACCAAATTTATTTTCTAATAAGAGCCCCCTATTTCTAATTTCTAAGGTGCTTATTACGTTGAATATGGTATGTGTAATTTGTCATGCTTTCTTGGGCTTGACATCATCAAACTGAGGTCTGAGATTTTAAAACTAGTTTATGCATCTATCATGTCTCTTGTTTCACTATTGATACATTTATTGGCCGAGGGTGCACAAGACGCTTTAACCACTAGGCTACCTGACCGCCCCTGTTTCTGAGAAGAAGAAATGTCATTTAGCAGCATGTCTACAATAGTATGATGTGATTGCTACTACAACGAACCTGCCCATGACTTCACATCAAACAGTTCAATTGCCTATGACTTTTCACAATGGTTCTTTCCATTTCTCTTGGCAAACTGACTTCTTGTTTTATGGTCATGAACAAATCTGACTTCGAAGAATTCTATCTGCAACTTACATGAAGGTCATCATAGACAAAGCCCACCTTGAGATTTCAGGGGCTTAAAAACAGAACATATCCAGTATGTACAACTCCAAGGGAAGTTTTGATCCTTCGAAAGATCACCTACTACACAAGTAGCATCAACGAGGACATATCCAGTATGTCAACATCTTCACTTCATCAAGAAAACTGAGAAGGAAATTCTAATCCGATTTTGTCATATCAAGAACCTCTTTGACCTTAACCCCTGTAATCCCTTTCAACAGATTAAGAGCGGAAGGCCACACTTGATATATCAACATAATCTCAATATGTGTTTCAGGTCAGCACGTGGGTCAAGTGGTTTATATTCAGGGACCACACTCCACCAGCTGATCTCAGCATATTATTTGACAAAGAATCTGCTGATCTCAGTATACTGTTTATGATAGGATCTGGTCATGTGGGCTTATTTTTTAAAAATAGGATCTGCTGATCTCAGCACATTGTTTATGATAGGATCTGGTCATGTGGGCTTATTTTTTTATAATAGGATCTGGTGATCTCAGCACATTGTTTATGATAGGATCTGGTCATGTGGGCTTATTTTTTTATAATAGGATCTGGTGATCTCAGCACATTGTTTATGATAGGATCTGGTTATGTCAGCATATTGTTTTATAATAGGATCTGGTGATCTCAGCACATTGTTTATGATAGGATCTGGTTATGTCAGCGTATTGTTTTATAATAGAATCTGGTGATATCAGCACATTGTTTATGATAGGATCTGGTTATGTCAGCGTATTGTTTTATAACAGAATCTGGTGATATCAGCACATTGTTTATGATAGGATCTGGTTATGTCAGCATATTGTTTTATAATAGAATCTGGTGATATCAGCACATTGTTTATGATAGGATCTGGTTATGTCAGCGTATTGTTTTATAATAGGATCTGGTGATATCAGCACATTGTTTATGATAGGATCTGGTTATGTCAGCATATTGTTTTATAATAGAATCTGGTGATATCAGCACATTGTTTATGATAGGATCTGGTTATGTCAGCATATTGTTTTATAATAGAATCTGGTGATATCAGCACATTGTTTATGGTAGGATCAGGTTATGTCAGCATATTGTTTATGGTAGGATCTGGTTACAAGGTAGGATCTGCGGTGCACATTGTGATGAATACAACAAACACAATTGAGCTATTTTGACTGACACACACAGTGTGCTTAACTTACTTGTCCTTATTCCTAAAGTGTGATAAATAAGTTCCTCTGATCATGTGTGTGTGCGTGCGTGCGTGCGTGCCCGCGTATGTTGACCAAATGGCCAAAATAATATATCAGTTAATGATTTGTTTATACAATATATCTTGAAACTAAATAAGCATCAGAAATGAAACATCAAGTATCATCTAACATGTCTGGTGATTTTTTATCTCAAATTTCGAATTTGTACTGACCAAGTTTCTCATCACCCGTTCGTTTACCGGAATTCGCTGAAGGGGTAGATCTTCGGTGTAATTTTTTTCTGCGCTTGATATTCAAATATTTTTTTTCCCAAATACTGAATCTGCTAGTGGGGGGTGCGCATTATACATGGGTGCGCACTATACTCAAGAAAATACGGTACCAGTATTTGGGCTGGGATGGGTAACTCGGTTACTTGGGGTCGGGTGGGTCCTGAGTAGAATCCAGGTACCAACAGTACTACCTGGACGCGTGGGTTAGTCACGTGATATATTGTTTAATGACAAAAACTCACTATAGCTCAGTGGTTACACTACAAGTCGCTAATGTTCCCCATTTCTTTCTGACAATACACACATTCCTGAGGTGTATATGTTTGAATAAAGATAAAGCTTCAGTTAACTTCGGTGTATGCATGATCTGATTGTTTGATACATGTATCGAAATAGTTTTGCCAGGGCTGTGGTTAAACAATTCCCAATCAGACATTTTGATCCCCTCTTGAGACCTACAATGCGTACCTGGGTAGGGTCAGGTAATAGGGGGTCAGGTAATAGGGGGTCAGGTAATAGGGGGTCTGTAATAGCGGGTCAGGTAACCGGGCAGTAAATTTCAGTAATCAGTATGCAATTTTTTCTATCACATTAACAACAATGCATGTAGATAAAAAGTGTCTCATAGGCCATAATTTGGCAAGATATAGACAATATATAAACTTATGAACTGAGAAATATCATGTGTGGGATTGTTTTGGTGATGATGTATTCAACTCTACCCAAGGTCCCCTCCCGTTATCATAGACATAGACATATACTACTCAAAAGAAGTTAAGGGCCACCCGGTTCTTTCCTACGACTATTGTTAATTTGTCATGCCACGACAGATCACCTAAAGTAATCTGAAAGAATCGGTGATCCTTAACTTCTTTTGAGTAGTATAGTTTATTCCATAACTAACCAATCACAGTGGTACATGGACATAAATGCAAAGGAGTCATTTGATAACAGTGGATACTCGCATGATTATAAGTATGAGAACATACACACACTAAATGTTTTTAAGTACACAGGAGACAAATCTGCTGAGGTTTCTTAACACTGAGCCTCACACTCCGACTCAAGGAACATGCAACAAGTGACAAGGAACAAGGTCAAGGTCAAGGTCAAACAACAACGATGACTTTAGCATGTACTACCACAATTCTCTTCAAGGACACATAGCAGTCTCCGTAGTGCTCGCAAGCCTCTAGCATTATGCCCATCCAGACTTCATGCACAGGAAATATGAATGCAATAAGCAGGAAGACATCGCGAACTCGTGGGTATGGGGTGTTGAGCATGTACGGCAGAACAACCGTTAAGATGAGCAGCTGATCCCCCAACACCCAGAAAAACCCTCGAAAGGCCTCAATACAGAGGTAGCCGTAGTTGTACTTGAGCTGTGTCCTACATGAACATAGAGAAGGGAAAGGATCATACACTCTGAAAAAGAGCAAGTGAGTGAATGGTGTTGGTAGTCTGAATATTCCAGACTTGATCTGAAGTCTGTGTGCTGGAGCAGATAATCCCGTGACTGATGGCAGGAGCATCAACAGTGTGTAATAGAAAACCAGGTCATTGAGGGTTTGGAGCTTGTTTTTCCCCTCTTGAAAGGGGTAATTCTACACCAGGTCCTAGCCGAGGTTCCTGTAAAACAACTGGGATGAGGGATGATCGCTATAGCTGGGCATCTGTCACATGTACACCCTGTCCAGCACACTGATCGCCTTGGGCCACATGCCTGTAAGTGCATGCCAAACAGGACAAACTACTAACACACATTGCAATGCATTTCCAAACACCAAGGGCTGGAGGAGAAAGAGGAGCTAACTATGGTTACAGCAGGGGGAGACATGGCCACGAGTTAGTCAGTCAGTGAGTGAGTGAGTATGGTTTTACGCCGCTTTTAGCAATA